TTTTTATTGACCCGGTTCTTGTTTGATTTATTAGTGAGTCCTGAGACCCGGTCCACCTGAATCAGGTCTTTGTGTGAACGAGGATCATTATTATTCAGGGTTGAAAGAGTCCGACTGTTCAGAGAGTCTTTGTCCACAGAACCAGGTTTTTAATTACACATCAGACACACACACACACACACACACACACAGGTGCTGTGTGTGTGTGTGTGTGTGTGTTTGAAGTGTTTTTGCTAATTAAATGAGTACTCACATGAAGAGCCCCCCCACTCAGCCATTCTGTTCAGAACATTTACATAATACACACACACACAGACACACACACACACACACACATCAAAGTGTCTTTGTTATGATATAATGGTGTGTGTGTCTGAGAGAGAGAGCTGCTTTAGTTACTGAATTCATTAGAGCTCATTAATACACACACAGCGGCGCTGAAGTGTGTGTCTGTGTGTGTTTGTCTCATTTTTTATCAAAGAAAAATCTGAAATATCTCGATAAAGTTTCTTCCTTTTAAAGGGATATTCTGTCGTAAAATTGCACGACAGAATATACAGAAGGGGGCGTTTCTCCACCTCTGTAGTCTATAAGCTGGGCCAATAAACTTCTACTGTAGTAAAATGAAAAGGTAAAGGTGTTTTTATTGAGCCGAATTATCAATGAAATCATGATTTTGTTAACAGGTATGGATTTATGTGCTGTCGAGTTAATATATTTGAACAAGAGCACAGTAAAGTTAAATCAGCTAATTTTCCAATGAGGTTCTGTTACTGAACGGAACTACACCATGTTCTACTGAGGTTAGTACATATAGGGTCACAGACATAGTACTAGACACCAAACATCTTTTTAACTCTGACTCATTTCTTTAACAAAGAGACTAAACACAACTCACCTACTCTCTTCCAGCAGACGCTTGTTTGTAGAGAGACCTCAGGCCAGTCCATTACGGACTACAGCGGGGTGCCGCAGCTCAAGGAAGAACATTTAGGATCATTTCTTTATGGAAATACAATCAGACCGAGACGCTAAGACAGAAGAACTACAGCGTCTGTAAAATGATCAATATGGTGATTATTACTTCAATGATAAAGAAATGATCATAAATGTTCTTCCTTGAGCTGCGGCACCCCGCTGTAGTCTATAATGGAAAGTTGGTATAACTCGAGAATCAAGCGGTCGGCAACATTCATCTCTGGAGGCGGGGTCTAACTCGGTGTTATGGTGTCAAACAGCTCCTTATTTAGATGAAGCTACGATCAGTCAGTGTTTGTCTGATTAATTATTGGTTATTGTTTCTATCAGTTAATTCAATCATGTCGAATGTTTGTTAATATTTGAACATCTGATTATTTCTGAAAGCTACACTGTGAGAATAAGGTCCAGTAATGTGTGTCTGTTGTTTGTATTGTTGTAGTTTTGTTGTGTTGTTTTTGTCTTGTCGCCTGTTGTGAGTTGTTGTGGTTATTGACGTTGCCTTTGTGTTTGTGGTGTGTTTTTTTTGTGTGTCTTTGCACTGAGATGGAGAGTTAAGTGTAAATGTAGATTTCAGGAAGGATGGAGATAACCTGAACCGAAACTGACGGAGATCAACATCAACCAAATGAAACGCTCCACCTCAATTTAAGGGATTAATAACAGGTTAACACTGACCGGCCACAACATTAGGAACACAGGCCACAACATTAGGAACACAGGCCACAACATTAGGAACACAGGCCACAACATTAGGAACCCCTGTCACAACATTAGGAACACCGGCCACAACATTAGGAACCCCTGTGCGGTTTAATCCAACAGCTCCAATAAGAAGAGTTCGTTCATTCTGAGTTCAGGTTTATTACAAACGTTAAAATTCCGACATCGACTCCGTGTTCCAGTTTTATTCGGATCAGGCTCAGCAGGTTTCAGGAACAACCTGGTCCTGGTCCAGGTCCACAGTCTGATCCAGACCCCATCTGGTCCAATAGACTCAAGTCTTCCCTTGGACCCCTCAGAAGCAGGTCTTTGAGGGTCTCTCCAAGTCTTTGACAGTTCCTGAGTCCTGGGGGGTCACAGAGGACTTAAAGTAGTCCAGGAGGACAGACAGAGAGGAGTCTGAGGAGAAAAGTGAAGGACCATGAAGGACGTGAGGGGAGGAGACGAGTGTACAAGGAGACAAGGAGACATCCTCAGTGTCCTCTGAAGGTTAATTTGGATGTTGAGTCTTCGGCGCTCTGTGGTCGGCGCTCTGTGGTCGGCACTAAAACGCCATCAGGATGGCGCCGCGCTCTCTCAAATGAAGATCCTTCATCATCCTTAAAGGTGTCCTGGACCTGGTCTGATGTGGTCCAGACCTGAAGGAGAGAAGAAACTGGACCCTGACCCTGAAACACGAAAACACATCTGATATAGACACTTGACTCTGATTCTGGTCCCTCAGGGTTTTTAAAAACCACAGACCTCATGGTCCGGGTCCGGTTTTCTTCTCCAGGATCAGATCAGATGAAATCCTGCTGGAGTAGATCACATAAGACCAGGACAAGACCACAACGGCCAGCAGGACCTGAGACCGAAGGTGAAAAGAGAACATTAAAATCCGACACATTTGGACCATCATGACTCCAAAACCAGGACTAAGGAGACCCTGAACTGTGGAGCAGCTGAAGTCCTCGATCAGGGACAAGATTTGACTGCCAGACTCTGAGACTCTGTTTTCTTCTTCTTCTCTCCTCTAAATTCTCTCGGATGAAAACTAAACTCTCTGATTCTGGTGAATTTTTGAAGCTTTTAAACTGTTTTAATTAAAAGGTTTTAATTTTCGGTTCCAGTGAATCTTCAGAATCTTGTTTTCTTCTAAACTCTCGTCTGTTACCTGCTGTAACAGATAACAGCTCTCTTTGGGTTAGAGGGTTCGGGTTCGATAGGTGACCTGCTGTAATAACCTCTTTATTAAACTCCGAACAGGTGAGACCGGACAGGTGTGCGCTCGTGAACTCACCGCCGTGTAGATCGTGTCTAAAGCTCGTTTGCTGAAGGTTTCCATCCTTCGATAGTTTGATTATTGATTATTGATTATGGATTATTATTTCTCTCCAGGTTGAGCTCGAACCCGGAGCTCTTCAGTCTGTTTACTTCTCTCTCTTGTCCGGATTAACGGTGATGAGGAGCAGCACGGGCGCCCTCTAGTGTCCCGGAGGGCAGCTACATCCGGTTTAACCGCTTTACTTTATTACCATTAAAACCTACTAAAACTTTTCTATTAAAAACTATTAAAACTTTATTGTAAAACAAACTAAAAGTCGTGATTTTCTTCACGTTGTTCCTTTTTTTAGTAAATTCGTCAAAGTGAATTTCTCTCCGAACAGAACAGCCTGACGGAGGACGGAGAAGATCTTTGTCACAGCGGCAGAGTGAACTCATGAAGCAGAGGTCTCACTTCGCTACATTTTCCAGAAACCTGAACGCGATGATTGTAACGGCCTCGGTTCCGAGTGTTTCCTGGTGTCTGAAAGTTAAATTAAGACTTTTTACTCTTTAAACATTGACTTAAATTACTGCAGATTCTGGCGTTTAATAATTTAATTAATAATAATTCAATTAAATAAAAATAAGAGCATTAGTATAGAGACTAGAATGTATGAAAAATACTCGATAAACTACAAATCAGAATCAGGATGTAGTTTTTTTAAAGGTCTGATAAACTTCAGCAGAGTTTTTTAGATCAGAGTTTATCGATCAGAGTGGACCATCTCACTTCCCGTCGATCTTTGTCTGGAAGAGCTGATGTCCATTACCCATCAGCCCCAGCGGTGTCTCGTTAGCCTCCGCTGTGTTGTGTTTGGTTCTGACCTGGTTCGACTGTCTCTGTCGGTACCGGGACTTCGAGTCTGATCGGAACCGAGCCTCGGAGCTCGGACTACCTGAACTCTTCCGGTTGATGCCGCTGGTCCGGAGGAGGAAGAAGAACCCGGATGAGGATCTGCAGGACTCCGCTCAGGTAGCTAACGGTTAGCATGCTAATAGGCTAACAAGCTGACCGTCAACTGTGTGTGTGCGTTCGTGCGTGTGCGCGCGCGTGTGTGTGTGTGTGGGTGCGTGCGTGTGTGTGTGTTTTAAACGTTAAAGTGTTTGTTCGTGTTTAATTCTGTGAGTTAATTTTGGGGCTAAATGCTAACAGAGCTGTTAGCAGGGTTAGCTGATTTTCTGTTAGCCTGTTAGCTAACTAGCATTAGCATGAAAACAAACAGGTGAGGCTTTACCTGCAGATCTGAGGTCAAAGGTCAGTGTTCAGGTTCACTGAGAGCAGCAGCAGGAGTCCAGTCTTACAGGATCAGGGTCACATGAGTGATTCTGGACTCTGGTCAGTTCTTGAAGCTGATCTCAGTCAGCAGGTCTGATGTCAGTTCAGTCTAGTTTGAAGTTCAGGTCTGCAGTAACAGAGTCTGAGGAGGAGGCTGGAGTCAGACTGGTCCACAGAAGACCGTCTGCAGCGTCAGTCCAGAGGAACCTCAGAGAGACCTGGTCAGAGACTAAACAGGGACATAAAGATCTGAAGGAAGAGGGAGAAAGAGAGGGACAGACAGACAGAAAGACAGAGAGGGACAGACGGACGGACAGACAGAGAGACAGACGGACAGACAGATAGAAAGACAGAAAGACAGAAAGACAGACAGACAGACAGACAGAAAGACAGACAGACAGACAGACGGACAGACAATCAGACAGACAGACAGACAGACAGACGGACAGAAAGACAGACGGACAGACAGACAGACAGACAGACAGGAGCTCAGTGTGTCAGAAAACTCAGAGTCTAAACCTGAAACAGAAAAACTAAGAGGTGATCAAACCAGAGACAACTACAAACTGGACGCTCTGTCTCCTCTTTTCTCCTCCTCTGTCTCCTCCTCTGTCTCCTCTTTTCTCCTCCTCTTTTCTCCTCCTCTGTCTCCTCTGTCTCCTCTTTTCTCCTCCTCTGTCTCCTCTGTCTCCTCTGTCTCCTCCTCTGTCTCCTCTGTCTCCTCCTCTGCCTCCTCTTTTCTCCTCCTCTGCCTCCTCTGTCTCCTCTGTCTCCTCCTCTGCCTCCTCTTTTCTCCTCCTCTGCCTCCTCTGTCTCCTCCTCTGTCTCCTCTTTTCTCCTCCTCTGTCTCCTCTGTCTCCTCCTCTGCCTCCTCTGTCTCCTCCTCTGCCTCCTCTTTTCTCTTCCTCTGTGTCCTCCTCTGTCTCCTCTGTCTCCTCTTCTGTCTCCTCCTCTGTCTCCTCTGTCTCCTCTGTCTCCTCCTCTGCCTCCTCTTTTCTCCTCTTCTGTCTCCTCCTCTGTCTCCTCTTTTCTCCTCCTCTGTCTCCTCCTCTGTCTCCTCTTTTCTCCTCCTCTGCCTCCTCTTTTCTCCTCCTCTGTCTCCTCCTCTGCCTCCTCTTTTCTCCTCCTCTGTGTCCTCCTCTGTCCCTCTCATCTGTTTGTCCATCGTCTCTCACCCTCCCAGATGATGGCGCCGACGCGGATGAAGCTTCGTGTTCGTCAGCGTGACAGTGCGGCGGCTGAGGCTGGAGTGGGAGGTGGCGGTCAGCAGGAGGCGGAGGAGCAGAGGAGCAGAGAGCGGGGGGGTCGAAGCAGCAGCAGGAGGAAGAACAGCTCCTCCACAGCTGTTGCTGCCTCCTCTTCCTCCTCCCCCTCTTCCTCCAGCGCCTCCGCCTCCGCCCGCGCCGTGATGGCGGCAGAGGAGACCTCGCCGGATTCCAAGTGTCCGATCTGTCTGGACCGCTTCAACAACCTGGCGTACCTGGACCGCTGCCTCCACCGCTTCTGCTTCCTGTGTATTCAGGAGTGGTCGCACAACAAGGCGGAGTGTCCGCTCTGCAAACAGCCCTTCACCTCCATCCTCCACTCCGTCCGCGCCGAGGACGACTTCAAGGAGTACACGCTGCGGCCGGCGCCCGCTAACAGCAGCGTCGCCGCCACTGTGGCCATGGTAGCAGCCATTGCTTCAGCGGCGAGGACCAACCACCAGATGAGGCTGATGCTGAGGAGGCGCAGAGAAGGGGAGGGGGAGGCCGCGACCACGAGAAGGCGAAGAAGGGACAGGGGAGGGAGGGCGGGCAGGAGGGCGCAGGTGCGACCTTGGTACCTGGATTCTCCTCCTCTTCCTCTTCCTGCGATCTCCATGCTCGCCGCTGAAGACAGCGAGGAGGGGGAGGAGCTGGAGGACCAGAGGAGAAATGGAGCCGACCTATCAGAGCGCGGCGTGATATTTGAAGGGCTGACAGGACTTGGGGGAGCGGTCACACCTTTGGCGCCCACTGACAGGGCGTCACGGCGGCTCATGACCCGCTTAGCGGCGAGACAGAGGCTGCAGCGAGAAGGCGGGACCGTCAGGCGGCTGAGGGAGCGAGAGACGGTCGCTTTCCGCCGTGCGCTCTACCGCTGTGGTGTTCGGGTCAACAACAACGGTAACCAGGGGCAACAGCAGCGTGACGTCACAGCAGAGAGCTTCCGTAGGAACCCCACCCACCTAAACAGGCTCCGCCCCTGGCTGCGGCGGGAGCTCACGGTCTTGTACGGGGCGCACGGCTCACTGGTCGACATTGTCCAAAGAATCATCATGGCTCGGCTCGCCCGGCACGGCCTGGAGGACACGCCCACCATAGAAGAAGAGCTGCGGCCTTTCCTGCTGGCGCGCACGGATCACTTCCTGCACGAGTTGGTCAGCTTCGCTCGCTCGCCGCTCAGCCTGGAGGAATTCGACCTACAGGCGGTCTATGAACCGCCAGACACCGCCATGGAGCTCGACGGGATGAGCAGCTCATCCAACAGCAGCTCCGTCATCGCCATCTCAGAAGGCGAGGAGGAGGAGAGAACGGGGGAGGGGAGCGCTCATGATGATGTCATCCAAACAGGAAGCTGCCTTAGCCTGTCGGCCTGGGACGAAGAGACGCCCGGCCCCTCCTACTCCACAGCGGAGCCGTCCTGCTCCGTGTCCTCCCTGTCTTTTAGCCCCGCCCCCCAGGAGACGGCCAATGAGGAGGGAGGAGAGAAGAGACGGGAGGAGGAGGGGGAGGAGTGTCTGATCGTCGGATACAAGAAGCCGATCGCAGAACGGACGCCGGAGCTGGTGCAGCTCTCCTCCGACACCGAGGAGGAGGAGGAGGAGGAGAGGAAGGAGGAAAGGGGGGAGGAAAGGAGGGAGGAAAGGACGGAGGAGAGGGCGGAGGCTGAGAAGCCCCTCGACCTCCCTTCCTCTCCCTCCCCCCTTTCTTACTCACCCACAGTCCCTCCCTCCACATCTGGAACTCGAAGGGAGGAGCCAGAAGGGCAGAAGGAGGTGGGGCGGAGTCGCTCCTGGTCAGGCAGCTCAGGGAGGAGCAGGAAGTCGGTGAGCGCGCTCAGAGAGGGTGAATGGCGGCGGAACAAAGAGAAGAGAGACAGGAAGTTTGGGGAGAGCGAGGTGACGAAGGAAAGGAGGATGAAGAGGAAGAGGAGTAGGAGAGGGAGGGAGAGGAGGAAGAGCGGGACTCTCTACAACCCCGTTCACTCCATTTATCCCGCCGCCATGATGCGTCAGTGCTCACACTCCTCCTCGCCGTTTTACTCCAGTGCTGACTCCGCCTCCCCTCTGCCGCCTAGCCCACCTGACTCCACCTGGAGCGAGCCCTGCTCCCAGATGTCCCCTCTCACCTCCTCTGTCTCCTCACAGTCCTCGCCATCCTCCTCGCCTCTCTTCTCCTCCCCACAGCTGTCCTCGCAGACGCCCCCCACCCCGTCACTCTCCCCCAGTTACCGTGGTAACAGTCACCACACAGAGAAACCCGGCGGCAAGAGGAAGTACAAGAGTCGGCATCTGGACAGCGACGAAAAGGACCCGACCTGGAGGCCGAGCAGCGGCCATCGCAAGGAGAGAAGGATGGAGCGAGGGGAGAAGGAAAGGAGACGGAGGAGGAGAGAGAAGCAGAGGAGGGACGCTCACAGGGCGAGAAGAAGGGACAGGTGAGAAAGACACTTCCTGTTTCCACGGTAACACGAAATTTGAAAACAGAGACAGAAGGGTCAAAGTTTAACGATGAAAATCTGTCCGTTCATCTTCGGGTCAGGGACAAAGAACCAGGTTCATGGTCCTCATCGTGTTTCTGTAGACCTTAGAGGACCAGGTTCTGTAGACCTTAGAGGACCAGGTTCTGGAGACCTTAGAGGACCCAGCAGACCAGGTTCTGTAGACCCTAGTGAACCCAGCAGACCAGGTTCTGGAGACCTTAGAGGACCAGGTTCTGTAGACCTTAAAGGACCCAGCAGACCAGGTTCTGGAGACCTTAGAGGACCAGGTTCTGGAGACCTTAGAGCACCAGGTTCTGTAGACCTTAGAGGACCAGGTTCTGTAGACCTTAGTGAACCCAGCAGACCAGGTTCTGGAGACCTTAGTGGACCAGGTTCTGTAGACCTTAGTGGACCAGGTTCTGGAGACCTTAAAGGACCAGGTTCTGGAGACCTTAAAGGACCAGGTTCTGTAGACCTTAGACCAGGTTCTGGAGACCTTAGAGGACCAGGTTCTGTAGACCTTAGAGGACCAGGTTCTGGAGACCTTAGAGGACCCAGCAGAACAGGTTCTGTAGACCCTAGTGAACCCAGCAGACCAGGTTCTGTAGACCTTAGAGGACCAGGTTCTGTAGACCTTAGAGGACCAGGTTCTGTAGACCTTAGAGGACCAGGTTCTGTAGACCTTAGTGAACCCAGCAGACCAGGTTCTGGAGACCTTAGTGGACCAGGTTCTGTAGACCTTAGAGGACCCAGCAGACCAGGTTCTGTAGACCTTAGTGGACCAGGTTCTGGAGACCTTAGAGGACCAGGTTCTGTAGACCTTAGAGGACCAGGTTCTGTAGACCTTAGTGAACCCAGCAGACCAGGTTCTGGAGACCTTAGTGGACCAGGTTCTGTAGACCTTAGTGGACCAGGTTCTGGAGACCTTAGAGGACCAGGTTCTGGAGACCTTAGTGGACCCAGCAGACCAGGTCCTAGAGTCTGACAGTCAAATCTTGTCCCTGATGGAGGGCTTCAGCTGCTCCACAGTCCAGGGTCTCCTCGGTTCTGTCCTCTGGTGGTCTGTTCTCTGTTTCTGAGACCCGTCCTGTTTCTCTTTGGTCCTCCAGCAGCAGCAGCAGGAGGTGCCGAGGAGACCGGAGTCCCAGTGTGGAGATCATCTACGAGGGAACGATCAGTTCCATCTCAACACAACCTTCGACTCGTGAACGACAACGGAAACGCCATCGCAAGACACAACTCAACAGGTACACCGAGCGGTCCAGGTACCCAGAATACACCTCTGTAAGGGAGGGAGGGAGGGAGAGAGAGAGAGGGAGGGAGAGAGAGAGAGAGAGAGAGGGAGGGAGAGGGAGAGAGAGAGAGGGGGGGGATTGAGGGAGGGAGGAGAGAGAGAGGGAGAGAGAGAGAGGGATTGAGGGAGGGAGGGAGGAGAGAGAGAGGGAAGGAGGGGGAGAGAGAGAGAGAGGAAGAGAGAGAGGGAGGGAGAGAGAGAGAGGGAGGGAGAGGGAGGGAGAGAGAGAGAGGGAAGGAGAGGGAGGGAGAGAGAGAGAGGGAGGGATTGAGGGAGGGAGGGAGAGAGAGAGAGGGAGAGAGAGAGAGAGAGAGAGAGGGAGGGAGGGGGAGAGAGAGAGAGGGAGGGAGGGGGAGAGAGGGAGGGAGGAGAGAGAGAGGGAAGGAGAGGGAGGGATTGAGGGAGGGAGGGAGGGAGAGAGAGAGAGAGAGAGAGAGAGGGAGGGAGGGGAGAGAGGGAGGGAGAGAGAGAGAGAGAGAGGGAAGGAGAGGGAGGGATTGAGGGAGGGGGAGAGAGAGAGCTTTTCCCCTCTCTGTAGTTTTTAGGACAGCCAACAGGGGGCAGTCTGCTCCGTTTCTGACCCAAAACCACCTTTTATTTTGAACAGATCAACGTTTTAAAACTTTATCTCCGTCGTTTATTTCAGTTTATCAGACCGTCTTCTTCTCTCAGAACAAACATCAGAAACATTCTTCAGCAGCTCTTCTTTTAGAGTCTCGTAGATTTTTCAGAAGTCAGGACTTCACTAACCCTGTGAGCAGCAGAGCTGAGAAGGATCTGGTTTTGGGGACGGGGGCCCACATGACCGGAGCTCTTCACTTGTCCAGTCTGTCCGTTGACCCTGAGCTCATAATTACAGAGACAGTTTTTAAGGGTAACAGAATCAGATCACAGCTGCGCTGAAACTGAAACGATGAAGATCTTTTCTGCTGTGAAATCAGAGTTCCTCTCATACCAGCACAACCTTCAGCTGGATGTTACACGGTCACGATTCACGGTTCCATTCAGTCAGGGGTGTCGGTAAAAATAATAATGCTGTAAATTTAACGACCTTTAACAAGATGAGGAACCCGGTACGTGAATGAAAATGATTTTACATGAAGAATTAAACCCAAAGCAGCTAATCATGAACTTTTATTCAGACACGACCACAAAAACATCAATGAATCAAAGTTAAATTCAAATCAATTACAGACAATGTAAATAAAGTAAACAGATCGATAATCCCACATTACCAGAAAAAACCAGAACCTGTGTTTGTTCAAAGTTTAACGCCGATGTCAGAGACGTCTGAGCGAGAAAAGTCTGTTTACAACGTGTGCGACACGAACACTGATGTCTGTCTCTGTGTCTCAGCTCTCCGGTCATCATCACCCTGGACAGCGACAGCAGCCACGACAACAACAACGACGACGACGACATCAACCTCAACGACAACTCTGACAGCGGCTGCAGCAGCCCGCTCAGCAGCCAGCAGACGGTCGACTTCTGCAGCCTCCCCCCGCTCCCTCTGATGCCTTCTGCCGGGGTGGGTGGAGCCCTAAACGCCGACATTGGGGAACTTCCTGTCGACATTCTGGACCAAGAATCTGACAGTTTGGAGCTAGAGCCAGCAGAGCGGTCAGGGGCTGGAGCAACCATCGCCATTGACAACAGTGACAACAGTGACGGCGATGTGGATGTGGAGAAAGTTGAAGGTTCGGTGCTTGGGTCCGATGAAGACAAAGGACCGAAGATGGACAAAGAGGCAGAAACCAGAGAGGCCAGACCTGTCAAGGAAGACTCTACATCTACAGGAAAGACCTGTGATCAGGTCCAGATGAGAGACTCCAAAGACATGCCATCAGACCGCCGCCTACTAGCAACCATCCTTAATGACCTGAGAGGAATCAGCGCTTCAAGCTCTGAGTCCAATAATTTATCAGATACAAGGAGAGCACATCTGTGGGAACATCCGAACAAAGGCAACCAACTGGTTCTGAGGACACAACACAACTTGGATTTTTCTGAGGGGCTACCATCCAGCAATATCAGGAACCAGAATCAGAGAACGGACCTGCCTGCTCGGAGCTCCTCCTTACCCTCGCTGCCTCCAGTGGAGCAGCAGGAGGTTTGGGTCCAACAGCAGAGCCAGGACGTCCCTCCTCTCCTCAAAAAAGCCAGTCCCATCCAGTCCCACAACAGGAATACACCACCACCACTGAAGCACAAAGATGCTGTGAGTCCACACCTGTTACCCATTCCTACCAGTAACCTGCTTTCGGCTCATGTTGGCATCTCTAAAGCCTGTCCAGGTGAGCTGCCTCAGGACAACAAGGCCATCCCCTCCATCTCGACCCTGAAGAGACAGTTCACCGGTAGTCTGCCACTGCAAGGTTATTCAGGCTCTGCAAGCAGCAGTTCAACCATTAACATCCATTCTGTCTGTAAAACCGATGACTTTCGTTCAGCTGCTCCTTCAGAGTTCGGAGCGTTAGCCATAAACATTCATTCCACCACAGACAAACCTGCCTCAGATTCTTGTTCCAGTGGGGCTGATTTCTCTTTCCATCCCTTAAACTCCCGTCATTACCCCACAAAAGAACAACCTTTAGGCCACAGAGCTCCACCCACTGACTTGCACCCTGGTTGGTCTAAAGACGAGCCAGCTCCAACTGACTCTACCTCCGGACACTGCAGGAATCGGATACCAGGCCCAGATTCCTGTCAGGTAGCAATCATTGACCTCCATCCTTCCAGCAAGGATTCAGTGGAAAGAACACTGCCAGGTAGTGATGGTTTCTCAGGACCCAATGACGCATCACTTCCTGTTTGTGTTTCAACCACCGGTTCAAGGACTCGGACTCCCTCACTGCCTATTGAGTCTCCTTGTATGAGTGAGAACTTGTGTGAAAGGGTTCCACCTGCTGGAGTGAGCTCAGTACTGACAGCAGGTTCTGGTGGTAGGTTGACACCCAGAACTGAACCCAGAACAAAGTGTTCTGTTGACTTCTTCTCCTTCAGCGCAGCTTCAAAAGAACTCACAGATAAGGCACCTTCGGGTCATGGAGAAAGAACCGCTCATGGTCGCCCCGTTGACTTACATCTTCCAACTCCTGTTCCACCTGTTGACAAACACGATATCGTCAGCACGTTCATCGACAAACACTTTAACCGCACGCCTTTGACTTCAACGGACTTTCAAATGCAAGAGAGTAAAAACTGCTCTGTGTCCAGACCAGATATTTACTACCCCCCCCACTCCGGTTCAACATCCAACCACATGGAAAAAACCCAGAACCTGCCGTTCAACATCCAGACCAGCTCAACACAAAAAACCTCAAATGACTTCCATCCCAAAGTTCAGACAACCGTTGACTTCCATTCAGACTCTCCTCTGAGAGACCTTCAGCTCCCTACAGACCGCCACGCCTCCCAACAGTCGGCTGAGAACCACCTCAGCTCATCCTCGCCTGTGGACGCCCGTTCAGACTCTCAGTCGTCTGTGGATGAACAGTCGGCCAGAAGCCTTTGGAAAACACACGCAGGCCTAAAATAATCCGGTGTTCTGAGGACCTGAAGGAGAAGACCTGCTGATTTTTACCTTGAACTTCTTTAAACCCAAATGTTTAAATTAATGATCGTGTTCATGAAAATGTTAAAAACGCTGTTTGTCTGTCTGTGAGGAGTGCTGTTTAGATCATGAATCTGAAGGTGAGTTGGTGTTTTTTACTCGGAGTGGAGTCACACGTTCAGATCTTTTTTATTTGGACCCTGAAAACGTTGAATTAGAGGCTGTAGTTAAACAGAAAAACCAACTGAAGAGTTTGAACCTCAAAATCGAACTGCTGAGTTATTTTCCATCTTGTTTTGAGAATGTTGATCATTGCTGTTAAAATGAGGAGGGTCCAAGACGAGTGAAATCACACAAAATTCAAAAGACTAAAAAAATCATTAAAAGACTTGATATGTGCTCTGGATCCTGGATTTGTCTGTCAGCCCGTCAGGATCGGGGTCTTTGGTCCTCAGTCCTGATCCCATCGGTATCGTTGGCTGTAAGTATCTGCTGAAACTCAATCAGATCAGGTCAGATCCATCTTTTCAGGGAAGTCTGTAAATCTAAACCTGTTTTTAGTTCCTCGGCATCAGACAGATCAGCGTCTCGGTGTAAAACGGACCTTCATGCAGAAATCTGTTGAGCTGGAGGTCATCGTGGAGAATTTCATCTTTCTGTTCTTTTCTTAAATTTTAAAAACTGACAGACTGGAAAAATCATTTGAAGTCAGGCAGAGATGGAGTTTGACTTCCTGTCCACTAGATGGAGCCTGAACCTTCTTTTTCCTCCTCCTCCTTCTCGCTCTCTCGCTTTCATTTTACCTTCACATCTCTCGCTTCTTCCCTCTCTTCCTCACAGACATAATGAGCCCCAAGGGAGGGAGAGAGACGCTCCCTCACACTAATTAGGACGATCAGGGTTCGATTAAACGGCTGTTAAACACACTCTGCTGTGGATCAGTGCCAAGTCCTCACTTCGGTTAAAGAAAGTGGAGAAAAGCAGAGCTGAAGAGAAGCTCACAGACCGAGGAGACGCTTACTGGACTGACAGAAGTTCAGGAAAAGACAGATGAGACACACTGAGTCCAGAGGTCCGACTGAAATGTCCCGGATCTCTTAGCACCTTTAGAAAAACCACACAGCTGATAGACAGTTCCTGCTGTGTCCCTGTGAGCAAACAAAGGATTTGTGCCGATCACACGCGTCCATGAAAAAGAGAGAATTCAGGAAGAGATAAAGTGATGGAAACAGAATATGACCCAACGGTCTCTGCTGCCGAGTCTGTCCCTGCTCAGCTCTCACTGTCCCATGGTCCTGTGCAGGGCTCCCTTATTCCCCGGGTCCCTGCAGTCCCTGCTGCCCGACTTCTCGTGTTCCTTGTCAAGCTCCTGGTTGTCTTCGCTGCGTGTTCTGCTCGTGTTCTCAGTCCAACTCACCAGGGTCTCCTCTGTCCAGCTCTCCATCTTCTCTGCTGCCTTCATCCTTATTCTTTTAGCTCTCCGGTGTTTCTTCCCAATCTGTACGTTTCCATGTTGTTTAAAAAATGATGGACTGTCTTAGTCTGAGTCCAAAGAGCTCTAACTTCAGACAAACACACCTGGATAATCGGGTCAAAGTGAAGTTGGCATAAGCAATCCGAGCGCTCTCCGGTGTTTGTGAGTCCAGCTTTGAGGTGGAAGTCTGTTATCATAAAGACGTGAGGAGAAATGAACGTTTACTGTCGTATAAACAAACGGTAACGAGGTGTTCAAGTGTTACAGACAGATGTCCCGTCAGCCGCTCGCTGACACATTTCCTTGATTGTTTTGATCAGTAATACGTCGACTGGGAGATGAGCCAACGGTTACGACCTGAACCGGACTTGTTGCCTCCTGTCACAACAGAGTGGACTCACTTCTGTTGATGGTTTGACTCTCTCCCAGTCCTTGTAAACTGGAGCAAGTACAGTAGACCAGTCCAGTCTCTCAGCTTCACGGTTCCTCCTGATCATCTCTGCTGCTCATGTCGGCCTCTGTTCCTCCGTCGAGGATCCCCCTGTCCATCATGACACTTCCTGCGCACCAGTTAGCTTGTTGGCTTCTCAAAACAAAATCAGATCCAGAGTCAAAACAAGATGCTGCCTTCTGATCTAAACCCAGACGAGCTTTGGGGAATATTACGGAACAGTAGGCCTGGACGATATAGAAAAAAAGCATATCGATAAAAAATAAGTCATATTGATCGATATCGATAATTATCGATATAATTATTATAATTATTTAACATATATTTTAATTGCAGCCCTGGATGTTTTATGCTATTGCTTAATGACCTACTTTTAATAAAGAACACACAAGCACTGAATTCAAATTCAAACCTTTATTCAACCACCTTTTTTATTTTACCACAACTGAAAGTTTTTTAAAAACGAACTAAAAAAAAAAAGAGATCAACTTAAGTGGCCTGAGTGACGTCAGTAAATACTGACAAACATAAAGACTAAAGTGACCAGAAAATCTGATAAATAAATATTTAAATAGTCTTTTGATGAAAATAAACAAAACAAACAAATATATAAATAAACAGAATAGCTTTAGGTGGGAATAGCATACTACCAGTTTTAACTGTGTGGGAAACTGCCCACAGCCTGGTGTCTGAACACTGAAACATTTCTCCCGGGGTCGGGAGATTTATTTTTTTTAATTATCATGTGATTGACTTAATACACAAACTAAGCACGAGAAGCAGGACTTATCCACGCCGGTGTTGTGTCGTAGAATGCATCCCTGCCGAATGCACCCCCCTGCTAGTAGCCATGATCCAAATACTCGCGTCTTTGTAAAATATGAGCTCATTTTCTTCCACTTTAAGAAGCTAATGAGTGGACGGGATGCATTCTTCTCACCTTTTCAACCCCTGACCCGTTTTCATGCCTGAAGCGCTGTGTTTGAGAAATACTTGCGGCCGACTTCATATCGCGGGTCGAGAGTGGCTAGAAGCTGGTCGAAGCCAGGCTTTTCAGCGGTAGTTATTGGCAGTATGTCCCTCGCTATGGAGCATGTTACTGCATGGGTGATGTCCTTATGCCGCTCGGACGCTTTGTCGTATTTTGGCAAGAAACGAAGTCCAGTTTGGTCTGCTTCACATGCTTTGAGCTGGTGCTGGCAGCGGGTCCAGAGGATTCCTCCGACGACGACGTGGAGCCGCGGCGCGGCCGACACAGCTCGTACTCCTGCGGGTGCGATCGGTTTAGATGGTAAAACAAGTCGGTTGTGTTACCAGACTTGGTTTTTACTAATTCTCTGCAAATTTTGCAAACGACCGCTGTTCGCTTTTTGTCAGACTTGTAAAAACCAAAACATTGCCATGCTGGTGAACTACTGAGACCTTTTTTCGGGACAATGTCCTCCGCTTCTCCTTGCTGTATCATTTTTTCTAATACACGTGCTGTCTGTTGTGGTTTGATAGGGGCTGGGCTTGGTGCCGTAGCGTACCTGGGTCTGCGTTTGTGATTGGTTGGGAGGAAGTAATGACTGTAGTAAAAGCTACATGATAGGCTATGATGAAAAAGAAAGGGAAACTGTGTTTTTCTATCAAACTTTTTATCGACCCGTTTTTTTTCTATCGCACCACACGTCTATCGATCGATATATATTGTTATCGAATTATCGTCCAGCACTACGGAACAGGGTTACTTACTAACTTAGTTCCTCCCGTTCCTATTGGAACATTCGGCGATGAGCCCCCTCCATTTGCTCCGGTCCCTCGCGACCCTCCTCGCTCCATGCCAGCTGACTCCCGTCTCGCTCAGGTCTTCCTCGGCGGTTTGTCTCCACGTCTTCTTTGGCCTCCCTCTTTTGTCACACTTGCCGGTCTCTCTCATGTTCCTCTCAGAGACGATGTCAGACAAGGGTGTCACAGCTGCCCTCCTCATCACCTCCTCATTTGTGATGTGGTCTCTCCACTCATGAGCTCTGCCTCCACAGGGACAGAGTTTCTCTTGTTCCTGAATAACTTTGTTCGACTTCGTACAAACAGGTCAAATCTGAGCAGATTCACGATGACGTTCATCACGTTGAGTGTTGGATATTGTGTTAAACGTCTGAAACTGAATGTTTGTCCACAAACACTTTTAAAAACTATAACTGAACACAACAATAAACCTTCGATTCCATCACTGTTCCTCTCGTACTAACACGGTGACAGGAGTGTGAGTAACAAATAAACCGGACAGACGAGGACTCTCCGTGGAGATGATGTCATCGCCTCACGGTTTTCTGATTTAATGAACCTTTATTTTCAGATTTATGAGCATCAATCATTCACACTGCAGCTGTCTGAGCCCAACTGAGCGCGCTCAAACTGCAGAGAGCAGCCCACCCCCCCCCTCACTGACCACGCCCACATCTAGAACACTGGTGGCAGGTCATTGTTAGCGCTGTTGCCAGGCAACACGGCACACCGTCGTCAGGGACAACCAGGCTTTCTGTCTTTCTTTTTCTGATAGCAACACCATTACAGAGATGACAAGCCCACACACACACACACACACACACACACACACACACACACACACACACACACACTCACACACACACACACACACACACAAAGCTTCCATCTTGTGGCGCCTCACCAGCAGAACATTTTCACACAAACAGAAAAACATATTGTTCATTTCCACGCCTGCTCTCTCTCTCCCTCTCTCTCTCTCTCTCTCTCTCTCTCTCTCTCTCTCTCTCTCTCTCTCTCTCTCTCTCTCTCTCTCTCTCTCTCTCTCTCTCTCTCTCTCTCTCTCTCTCTCTCTCTCTTTCTCTCTCTCTCTCTCTCTCTCTCTCTCCCTCTCTCTCTCTCTCTCTCTCTCTCTCAAACACACACTTACACACAGTGCAGTATGATGCAATCACCTGACATCCATATTTCTGCAGTGTGTGTGTGTGTGTGTGTGTGTGCGTGTGTTCTGCGCGTCCATGGATCAGTCTCACAGCTCGTCTTTATTATAATTCAGAACATGAGGAGGTCACAGAGAAAGAAGAAGACCTGCGGAGGAGCAGGAGGAGGAGGAACCACAGACCGGACTCTGAAGAGGAGCGAACGTTTCTCCTCATGAAACTAAATCCCAGTTTCAGTTCATGTTTCCAACAGGCCTGGAGGGGTCAGAGGTCATTTCTGATTGATTTATTTGAGGGAAACAAAAACATGAGAGCATGTCTGACATCACATTTGACTCCGCCCTTTTTCAGAGTCTCGTCCTGCGTCCCGATACACCAGCTGATCTGGTCCAATACTTTAGAAGTCCAGTCTTGACTTTGGAGGCGGTTTTAATGACGTTAGTTCAGGCATACCGCACATCAGCTGAATCTAAGACCCGCCCATATCAGCTGATCGCTCGGCTGATGACCTTCTGCCATCTTTACAACCCGCCTCTTCTCCAGCTCCTCCTCTTTATGTAGAACCTGATCTTACCCGGGTCTTATGGATCGGTTCTGAAGCTGCTCGACTCTGTACCTCGGGGTTTTTGCTGATGCTCTGCCTGCCTTCGGGTTTGGTTTTCGTCACACACGAGTGGAGGGGCAGGGAGTGCCCAGAACTGAGCCTCTTTGTCTTTGCTGGTTCAGCAGTGGACATGAGCAGGTGGGGGGGCAGAGAGCTCTCTCCTCTGACTAAACCGGTCCGGACCGAACAATGGTTCTGTGGAGTATCCGGGTCGGACAGGGGGGTCATCTCCTTGTTCTCACGCTTTACTTCCTGTGTCTGATGAGTCAGCAGACTAATGCGTCTCCCATGTTTTGAGGAGGAGGAGGAGGAGGAGCTTTGGTGTCAGGAAGGAGGTGTAAAGAAATCGAGCTCTCTGATTGGTCGTCTCTAAATGTTTAAAAGCAGTCACAGTTTCCTGTTTATTTGAAGTTGGACCCACAGTCATGTTGGAAATCACATGTTTACAGAGAAGGACCCCATCATTCTTTCTGAGACCCATCGAACGGTTTATTCCCACCCAGAACCTGACCCGGTTTGGATGATACAGAACCGAGAAACCCGGGTGTTTGGTGCTGATGAAGAAACAAGTCCGACCCTGACCTAAAAGCCTTTAAACAAAAATATTTTTCCTTTCAGCCAAAGACAGAAATAACGACACAGTGAGTTTTTTTTTTACTGGCCCCTCGGGTTCAAAACAGACCCAGTAAACCCAGAACCCGACTGCACCCTGAGAACTTGAAACCCAGATAAAAAAACCCTGAAAATAAAAACCATGACAGTCATAAAAATCAAAGTCCATCAGAGGAAAGAGAACTGAAGTAAATACAGGAATATAAAGTCCATCAGGGGGATCAGAGTCCAGTCCAGTCCTGGAGGACCTTTTAGAGCGGCGCACCGACACCAACACAGTGATAAAAAAATAGAACGGATGGAGGAGGAGGAGGAGGAGGAGCCTGTGAGAGGAAGAGGTAGACAGAAGAGAGACAGATAACAGTGTTGTGGTAATTGTAGTCCTACTGTAGTCGTGGAGTCGTAGTCCTTGATAACAGTCCTGGATCAGTTCTTGCTGAGGTCAGTCTTGAGGTTAGCTTATCGTTCCCGTTTTGGTTAATGTTTTGTGGTGTTTCCCTGGAGACGGCGGTCAGGCCTGAAGCTTCCTGGTTTGGTTGGTCTGGGGTTTGTAGTTTTCTGGGAGGAGGAGGAGACAGTTTGATCTCAGGTTCATGGATGATGGAGCAGTGAGTGCTCTACCACTGGACCTGCTTTCACATTGGTTTGGTCACCATGGAAACGCCTGATTCTTATTGTTTGATCGTCTGGAGATGTGCCGTGACAGTTAAATCTGGATTTAGTAAAAAATTAGACTGTTTTTATGAGGATCAGTTTTCAGGAGAGCCGCTGGAGACAGCAGAACTTCAGGACCTCAGAAAAACACCCAGAGGTCCAAACAGCTGATCACTGTGAGGTCTGAGGAGGCTACATGACACCAGCATGTCCTACCTTCACCTGTCCCTCAGACCACAACCAACCAGATGAGTCTGATCATCAAAACTGAGGTCTACAGCTGAGGAGTACGAGGAAGCCACATGGAATGGCAGCTGCCTGGTACCTCACCCTTAACCCTAACCCTGATCATGGTTCCTTACCCCAACCCTACTCATGGTTCCTTACCCTTAACCCCAACCCTGATCATAGTACCTAACCCTAACCCCAACCCTTCTCATGGTTCCTTACCCTTAACCCCAACCCTACTCATGGTTCCTCACCCTTTACCCCAACCCTGATCATAGTACCTAACCCTTAACCCTAACCCTACTCATGGTTCCTTACCCCAACCCTGATCATGGTACCTTACCCCAACCTTAGCCCTGATCATAGTACCTAACCCTAATCATGGTTCCTTACCCTAACCTTACCCTAACCCTGATCATAGTACCTTACCCTTAACCCCAACCCTACTCATGGTTCCTTACCCTTAACCCCAACCCTGATCATAGTACCTAACCCTAATCATGGTTCCTTACCCTAACCTTACCCTAAACCTAATCATGGTACCTAACCCTAACCCCAACCCTACTCATGGTTCCTCACCCTTAACCCCAACCCTACTCATGGTTCCTCACCCTTAACCCCAACCCTACTCATGGTTCCTTACCCTTAACCACAACCCTACTCATGGTTCCTTACCCTTAACCCTGATCATAGTACCTAACCCTAACCCCAACCCTACTCATGGTTCCTTACCCTTAACCCCAACCCTAATCATGGTACCTTACCCTAACCCTGATCATGGTTCCTTACCCTTAACCCCAACCCTACTCATGGTTCCTTACCCTTAACCCCAACCCTAATCATGGTTCCTTACCCTAACCCTGATCATAATACCTCACCCTTAATCCTAACCCTGATCATGGTTCCTTACCCCAACCCTGATCATGGTTCCTTACCCCAACCCTGATCATGGTTCCTTACCCCAACCCTGATCATGGTACCTTACCCCAACCCTACTCATGGTTCCTTACCCTAACCCTGATCATGGTACCTTACCCCAACCCTACTCATGGTTCCTCACCCTTAACCCCAACCCTGATCATAGTACCTGACCCTAACCTTACCCTAACCCTGATCATGGTTCCTTACCCTAACCCTAACCTTTGTGTTAAATCTGAAGCCCAAACCAAACAAACCAGCCGTAAAAGGTAACCTCAGAGTCCACTTCCTGGATTATGAATCTCTCTGTACTGTAACTCTGTTCAGGTCTCTGAACGGTCCTGGTCTCTGAACGGTCCTGGTCTCTGAGCGGTCCTGGTGTTGAGGATGGTGGAGGGTTCACTTTGTGCTCTCTTATTGACTCCGCTGATCCCACCTGTCTGGTTGTGATTGGCCGACCGCTGTAGCTCTTCGTTCTGAAGCGTCGTTGCTAACATCTCCACCGCCTGTTTTGGTCTTTTGGAAAGTTTGAATTTACCTGTGAGAAAGTTCAGGTGGAGGTGAAGGTGGAGGTGGAGGTGGAGACTCCGTGGACCTGAGATCAAACTGCTCGCTCTCTCCTCCGGACTCTGAGCAGATTATCGCTCAGATGGGATTAGTCATCTCTGTGGTCCACACAGGTAGAGAGTTCATAATCCTGTTTCCAAGATCCAGGTGTTGTTGTTGATCCACACCTGATTCTCAACGAGACTTTCTTCACGGCGTCCATCTGTGGGCGAACGATCGTGTTAGAAGAACCATCGGAACGCTTCTCCGGTCGGAACGGAAGGAGGTCGCTGAGAAAAACAGAGAAAGAGGAAGTGAGGTCACGGAGGGAGACACACACACAGACACACACACACACAGACACACATGCACACACAGACACACACAGACACAGACACACACACAGACACAGACACATGCACACAGACACACACATACACAGACACACACACACACAAAGACACACACACAGACACATAGACACACACACACACTCACAGACACACACACAGACACACACACACACACACACAGACACACACACAGACACACACACACACAGACACACACACAGACACACACACACACTCACAGACACACACACAGACACACACACACACACACACACACACACTCACAGACACACACACACACACACACACACACACACACACACACAGACACACACACAGACACACACACACACACACAGACACACACACACAGACACACTGAGTTGTGTTTCTTTGTTTATTGATTTGGATGAAGATTTCACTGAAGGATCGGCATCATGACGGCGGCCGGACTGTTCGCTTCAGAGTGACGAAGGAACGTTATTCGTTGACATCAAATCGACGCTTGAATCTGATGAAGATGATCAGCTGAGTGTCTTTAAATTTGTGTCCTGCCTGAACTAACACTGCGCTCAGAGAACTCCCAGAAGGCTTTGCTGCTTCTTTAACAGAGGAAACTCTTCTGATTGGCTGACTGTTTGTCAGGTTGACTTCAAAGAAGGATGAGGCAAGAGAGTGAAACTACCTGAACACACGCACACACACACACACACACACACACACACACAACATCTGCACAGCTCCACCTCACAGACAATAGTCAGGACACACACACACACACACACACGCACACACAGACACACACACACACACACACACACACACACACATGAACAAACACACACTCAGACAGTCTGTCCTGGAGTCAAACGTCGTCGTCGTCGAGGGTTACAGACCTCTCAGATCCAGACTTCGTCAGGCTGTCTCTGATTGGTCAGATCTTCTCACATGATCTCATCTCTGTTTCGTGGATCTCCTTCTCAGGGCCAAGAAAACGAATCGCCGTCAAATCTTTACAGACTTCGTGGACGAGGTCACGGGGTCAAACCCGACATAAATCTAGACGACACAAACCTTCGACTTTGACTCAAACTCGCACTTGTCGTGTTTGTGTCTTGGATGTGTGAAGATCGTCTATCAGCCTGAAACTGTCGGGTCACCTTGGCGTGTTCATGGCGCCGCAGTGACTCGACCTCGTCCATCAAACTTTCTTTGTTCTGGTCAATTTCAACCTTCTCTGATTCTTCCATTTGCCAACGGCGACAGAAGATTCTCAAAACCATGTGGAGAAGACTCACGCACCACAACGTGTCTGTGTGTGTGCGTGCGTGTGTGTGTGTGCGTGCGTGCGTGTGTGTGTGTGTGTCCTTACCTCCAGCACTCCCCCTCCTCCCCCCGGTTTCTTCTTCAGCTCCTCGCACTTCCTGAACTTGCAGATCTGGTGACCCGTCTTCCTGTTGCGGCAGGACGAGCAAACGCCACAGTTGATGAGCCGCCTGCACGGTCCGCACACGCCACAGCGCTTCCTCTTCCTCTTGGCCACCGCCCCTGAGGAAGAGGAAGTTGATGTTGACAAGGCCACGCCTCCTGCTGTCACCCCAGATGATGACGGCGAGGAGGAGGGGCAGGGGGAGGAGTTTGTGTGCTGCTGGCAGTCTGTTAGCGCTCTCTGGCTGCCTGTCATCTGAAAGGCACTCCCAGCATCTGCGATCCCGCCCCCTGCTGACCCCATCGCCATAACGATGACCCCTGGAGGTAACCCCAGACCTCCAAGAAAGCCACTCCCCATTACTCCTCCTCCATTGCAGCTCCCACTTTCTGATAGGCCCATCATTTCTGGGTGGGCGTGTCCCTGTTTGTTCATTACACCGCAGTCTGTGCTGCCGCCATAACCTGGCAGGAAGTTTCCGTTGCTAGGCGCCATCGGGTGATGATGGGACGACTGTGTGGGGGGGAGCGAAGGAGCAGTGTGTCCGTGTTTCTCGGCTCCTCCCCCCTCGTTGCTTCCTGCGTTTCCTCCCCCTCCCGACACCCCGCCGCCCTGATGCATGCTGTTGCCGTGGGAGTGTGAAGAGGTCATGTGACCTGCTGTTGCTGTGGGATGGTGATGGTGATGGTGATGTGTTGCGGCGGTTGCCATGGGTTTAGGCCTGCCCCAGAACATGGCGGCAGGATGGTTCATGTTCACGTTTTCATGGCATCCCCAGGGCGCCGTCGCCATGGCGCCTAGTCTGGCCGCAGTAGGGGGAAAGATAGGGGCGGCGGCCGCCAACCTTGCCGCCAGTTTTGCAGACTGAGGGAAGTTGGTAACGTTCATGTTGACGTTGGTCTTATAGAAAGTGGCGATGGACGAGCGGTACCGGTCCATCTCTGAAGAGTAGTCCAACATCGGAGCGAGACCAGAAACCTGGAACACCAAGAAGACCGACAACTGAGTGACCTCTGAACCCCGGACCACGTCACAGGACCCCCCCAAACCCAGATAAACGTTTCGCAGTGATGGCGTCTGTCGTCAGAGTCAGCTCAGTGCTAAAAAAGGGGCGTGGACGACATGATTGACAGCAAACAATAAGCCTGCTGTTCCATAATAGGAGTAGGGAGGACCCACCTGACCCGGTCTGGACCCACCTGAGGGACCTTTGACCTGGACTAGACCCACTTACAAAAGTTCTGGTCGTTTATATCGAAGTGAAAGTGGCGGGGAGTTTGACGCCGCGGCTGATTGGCTGATTCTCTTTGACGACTGACTGTTGACCATGAATTTAGGGGGCGGGACAGAAGTGACGCACAGAAACACCTGAGACTCACCTGTCCCTGTCCGCCATAAGCGTGGTGATTGGGGTGATGGTGGGCAGGGGCGGAGCTTCTCTGGAGCATCGAGGAAAGGTCACTCTCCACACAGACGCCGCTGGTCATCCCTGACATGTCCTCACACACACGCTGAGGTTCGACCTGATTGACGGACAGGTGTCACTCTGTAAGGAAGCAGACAGGTAAAGTCAAGGTCGGTTCGGTTCCTGAGGTTCGTAGATGTAGCAGGCGGAGAAGATCCAGCGATTCTCTACGTGGTATCGACCACGTTGATCACATGACCGCGCTGACGTCTTTCTCAGCGCCGATACGAGGCGACGAAAAATGTGAGTGAGTCGTTTTATTAAAGAACTCGAAAGTTTCAGACGGTAACGAGACGGAGTCGGCACTCTGAACTCAAAGGTCACGGACTGAATCTCCTCAAGGTCGTTTCACTGATCAGCTGATCAGGTCGTTTACAGTCTCAGTTTAATCGACTAAACTCATAATTCGTCTTTTTCCGACTTCTCTCCTCGTCCTCGTTTACATGCAGCTGAGAAAACTGAATTATTGACGTGAACGTGT